TCAAGCCTACTTATATGAATAATAAGATGCGGATTCCAAATTACGCACCTAACAATTATCACTCCTATTAGAGTTGCAAGAATGATTATACAGTATTCCTTACACAGCATTGTATACTGTAAGAACATTGGCAAAACTCTCTTAGAACAGCTATACAAGCGGAATGGGCACACATAATAGGACACTTCAGTCATTTAAGAGGTTGTATAAGGGCTGCAGGTAACAGTTATACAACAAAAGTGTTAGCCTCTTGCAGCCGCTATAGGACATTTGCGTCAGTGCAAGATTCAGTTTTTGTCAACTATACAACTATTCTGTTACGTGATTCTACTTTACTGTAACCAAACTATTGCTTATGTATTGTATAGTCGAAGTGAAGAATATATAACTAACACAATACAGTCATCTTGTTTACTTACATATCGGCCATTGTGAATTTATACACAGGTATATGATAAACTTCTACACTGTGACATACGGCTATTAAATTACTTGCGCAGCAAATTTTATTGTGATTATCGTGCAAAGTAGTTACGTAATTTCTATGGGCTTCGCATTTGATTCATTTTTGATAATATGTCTAGATTTTTAAGATGGAAAACTGAACTTATCTGCATCAAATCTTCCACAAATCCTATATTTAGACACAATTACACTAATGTTTATCACTTTATATCTGTAATTTCGAACTGAAACATAGTTATTTAATATTAAATAAAGGAATAAATGTTTGCCCAATATGGCGGGTGGGTGTGTATAATCATGGCATCGTCCATATTGTCTTTAGTTTATTAGAATATTTTGGTGTTGTCTGCAGGTATTATACAACAATTTGACAAATGTCTGAAATGAAATACCGACAGAGTCGAATGATTTACCCAAAATTTGTACCAGATCTATATCTTCTGTTTGAGCAGTCGATAAAACCTTTTGAACCAATATGCATGCGTTGTTTGTCTTAAAACATTGGTTATGGCATTTTAACAAAAAATATGACAGCAGAAAGTTAGGTTATGGTGAAGTAGTATACCAACATATGCTAAGTGACATATAAATCAGAACACCCAGTTTAAATGGTTTTATTTTAATAAAATTTTGTATAAGTACTTAATGAAGCATAATAAGTAAATGATAAAAATTTCAAAATGATTGCACTGCTCTAAAGCCCTTTGACCTTTAATAATGTGTGGATGCACCCTGATGTGCTACGCATTCTCCAACGCGCCTAGGCATGCTTCTGATCAGGTGGTCAATGTCCTCCTGTAGTATCTGATTCCAGGCAACCACCAACTCCTCTCGAAGTGGTTCTAGAGTCTGAGGAGGACGTTGCAAATTGAGCAATCTCCTACCCATCATATCCCACACGTGCTCAATTGGGGATAAGTCGGGAGATCCTGGTGGCCATGGTAACAATGTGACATCATTATGTTGAAAGAAGTCTATTGTGACTCTTGCAACATGTGGTCGGGCATTATCTTGTTGGAAAGTTGGATCTGCCAGGGTGTCAAGATAGGGTAAAAGATGGGGTTCTAGAACTTCGTGGATATAACGCTGCGCGTTCATGTTACCTCTGATGAAGATTAAAGGTGACCTGGAACCATAAGCTATAGCACCCCAAACCATAACTCCAACAGTGTGATGAACATGTCTTTCAACAAAAAACTGTGGATTCCTCCTTTCACCACGTCGCCTTCTAACCCTGGCACGACCATCGTGCATGCCTAAACAAAATCGAGACTCGTCACTAAAGACAATACTGCTCCATTCCTGATCCCAGAGTGACCGTTGTCTGCACCACTCAAGGCGATTACGTCGGTGTTCTCGATTTAAAGGGAGGACCCAGTGTGGCCGGGATGAAAACAAGCCAAAACTTCTCATTCGTCGGTAAACGCTTCGCATGTCAATAGGTCTTCCGTGTTCTTCAAACCATTCATTTGCAATGGACCTGGTAGTGGAGAAACGGTCCCTTAAGGCCAATAATCTTAGGCGACGATCTTCACGGTCTGTTGTTCTACGGCGGCGTCCAGTACCCTTGCTCTTTGCGTACGGCCTTCTCGAAGCCATGCCTGACAACACCTAACCACAGTGTCTACACTTCTTTGCACTCTAACTGCAATTGCCCGAAAAGAAAGTCCAGCTTCCCGAAGTCCCACTATACGGCCCCTATCAAACTCACTAAGTTGACGAAATCGTACAGGTCTCCGTACTCTAGGCATCTTAACCGATCGTAAAGGATGTCAAGAACCAAAATCCGCCAACGTTGATTCTTTACTGCGGCTGAACTATTCATTTTTAGAGCGTTAGTGAATTAAAAAAAAACAGTATAAAAACCGGAATGTCCAACTGATAAGGCTGAAAATTTTTTCACTTGTTATTTACAGTAAGATAAATACATTCACCAACTTTTATTAAAATAAAACCATTTAAACTGGGTGTTCGGATTTATATGTCACTTAGTATAGATTAGGTCCGAGTAGTGATAATTGTTTGTTTATGTTGTTGTTATAGCTGTTTTTCTCTTGAAGCTGATTTATACTGTTCTGATTGTTATTAAATTTTACGTCAAATCTGTATTCTTAGTGGCTATATCTGATTTTTTTTCCTTAATTTTGTTGTTCTATTAAAAGCTTAGTAACTCAAAATCTAGTGATTTTATCTGAATCAAACCTTGTACCAAAAAAAGCTTATGAAAAATGAATCAAAACTTGCACAAATATACAGGGTGATGCATTTGAAATTTTTGAAATAAGTACCATTTCGCGTTTTTGACCACCATGTATGAGGAAAAATAAGAATTTGAAAATGTTCAAATAAGATAAAAGCTGAGGCGTGTAAGTTTTTCTGGTACAAAATTCAGCACTCCAAATTTCAAAATGGTGGATTGAGGGGTTGGCGAAGTGGACCTTACATCTCAGTAGCTAGTATGTTATATCAATCTTCTTCTTTTTTTGAATTGGTTTATTCAAATATGCAATAAAATTTGAGGCATTCTATTTAAAAAATCCCAACTTTGATATGTAGGTCAAAATTGGGACACCCTGTATAATTGACAATATTTTAGGAATGTGCCATCAAATTTCATGTATATATGCCATAAACAGATTTTCCCAAAATGTGTTTGTTTATGAGTAATATTGCGTCCACACACGGATGGGCCACCCTGTATACAAATGTGCAATAAAATATAGGGTATTCTATTCAACAAAAATACGAGTTCGATATGACATGAAGTTATGAAGTATTAAAATATCCACTAGTAACATATACTAAGTGACATATAAATCGGAACACCCAGTTTAAATGGTTTTATTTTTATAAAATTTTGTACGAATATCATTACCTAATGAAGCATAATTAAATGATAAAAATTTCAAAATGATTGCACTGCTTTAAAACCCTTTGACCTTTAATAATGTGTGGATGCACCCTGATGTGCTACGCATTCTCCAACGCGCCTAGGCATGCTTCTGATCAGGTGGTCAATGTCCTCCTGTAGTATCTGATTCCAGGCAACCACCAACTCCTCTCGAAGTGGTTCTAGAGTCTGAGGAGGACGTTGCAAATTGAGCAATCTCCTACCCATCATATCCCACACGTGCTCAATTGGGGATAAGTCGGGAGATCCTGGTGGCCATGGTAACAATGTGACATCATTATGTTGAAAGAAGTCTATTGTGACTCTTGCAACATGTGGTCGGGCATTATCTTGTTGGAAAGTTGGATCTGCCAGGGTGTCAAGATAGGGTAAAAGATGGGGTTCTAGAACTTCGTGGATATAACGCTGCGCGTTCATGTTACCTCTGATGAAGATTAAAGGTGACCTGGAACCATAAGCTATAGCACCCCAAACCATAACTCCAACAGTGTGATGAACATGTCTTTCAACAAAAAACTGTGGATTCCTCCTTTCACCACGTCGCCTTCTAACCCTGGCACGACCATCGTGCATGCCTAAACAAAATCGAGACTCGTCACTAAAGACAATACTGCTCCATTCCTGATCCCAGAGTGACCGTTGTCTGCACCACTCAAGGCGATTACGTCGGTGTTCTCGATTTAAAGGGAGGACCCAGTGTGGCCGGTATGAAAACAAGCCAAAACTTCTCATTCGTCGGTAAAACGCTTCGCATGTCAATAGGTCTTCCGTGTTCTTCAAACCATTCATTTGCAATGGACCTGGTAGTGGAGAAACGGTCCCTTAAGGCCCATAATCTTAGCCAGCGATCTTCACGGTCTGTTGTTCTACGGCGGCGTCCAGTGCCCCTTGCCCTTTGCGTACGGCCTTCTCGAAGCCATGCCTGACAACACCTAACCACAGTGTCTACACTTCTTTGCACTCTAACTGCAATTGCCCGAAAAGAAAGTTCAGCTTCCCGAAGTCCCACTATACGGCCCCTATCAAACTCACTAAGTTGACGAAATCGTACAGGTCTCCGTACTCTAGGCATCTTAACCGATCGTAAAGGATGTCAAGAACCAAAATCCACCAACGTTGATTCTTTACTGCGGCTGAAATATTCATTTTTAGAGCGTTAGTGAATTAAAAAAAAAAAACAGTATAAAAACCGGAATGTCCAACTTATAAGGCTGAACGTTTTTTCACTTGTAATTTACAGTAAGATAAATACATTCACCAACTTTTATTAAAATGAAACCATTTAATCTGGGTGTTCGGATTTATATGTCACCTAGTATATCTCACTCGCAAAAGGGATTGTCTGTGAAAGCGATCTGCATACACTCGCCAAGTCTCGGTAGCATTCTGAAGACACCCAGATTTATATGTCACTTAGTATATCAAGGTTGCTACGAAACCATTTTTGATATCTTTTCCATTTTGCTCATAAAACTATTTTCCGTTATCGTTGGAACACCCTGTATATCTTTCCTTACTCGGTCAGTTCGTTTTGCATAATGATGAGATTTCTCCTGATTGAGCGTTCCGCATATTGAGGTTGTTGCGTATTAGAAATTCCCTTCATCGCCAAACTACGACTGACCTCCACCTCTTTTCCTATTTTCACCATCCTTCATCTCTGACATCTCCTTCATTCAGCCGCGTAGAGTAGAACAAAGCGCGCCACTAAACCAATCCGCCTCGCTAGGACCCACTTATAGATGATACATCGAATCACAGCTTGACGGTTCATCCTTTATGTATCAACAGCTCTCGAGTCCACAAAGCGCGCTTCGGCCCCTCATGCCCCATCTTGACGAAAAACAATCCGTCCTCGTAGGAGACATTGTGCGACCTAGAGGACCCGCGGCGTCGTATCAGGAAGAGCAGGCTATGGAGAGGCAACACCTGGTTATTCTTTTGTTTTAAGTGGAGGTTGTAGACGGTGTTCGCATTTTTAAGCCGTATGCAGAAAGAAGCTGGTACGTTGAAGGTTTGTTCGTACAGCGACTGGGATCCGGCGGGGCGAATTTCGTCTGTGTAGCCTAGCAGTGTGGACAGAATTTGTGAGGATCTTGGGTACGGTCACTGAGAGGTTGGCGACTGCTTTATGAACAGGAGTTGAATCGCTTATAAATTTGATTTCCCAGAAAAACACAATTAAACATGAAATATAATAATAATAATAATAGACGTCTTTATTTATCCACAATTACATTGTAGCATAGCCAAATGTCAGACTTATATGGCGAAGTTTAGCATGCTGCTACTCTTACACTTAACCATATAGTCTCTAGCAGATGTTCAAAAGAATACACTATCCACAAACAGATTTGGTTCATTACATCGAAAGTAAAATTTAAAACAAGAGAAAAAGGCATACTTTCCAAACCCAAATGCACCAAAAAATTATTAATCTGAATTAAAGATGAAATAAAAAAGAAATGAATGATTACGTAAATTATATGTGTGGAGGGTTGAGTAATAATGTTTTAACTTTTTGTCGAAAGACAGGTAATGAAAATTCTTTATATACTTTAGGAAGGTCATTATAAATAATAGCAACATTGTAAGAAAAACTGCGTTTAAAAAGTGTAGACGTATGCAGGGGTATTCTAATATTATTTTCTCTGAGAGTTCTACAGTGAACATCATTATTAAATGAAATTTTTTCCTTCAAGTAACAAGGTTTAGGCGTGAGCAGCAATTTGTGAACAAAAACTGAATAGTGATATTTGACCATGTCATTAATTTTTAACCAGTTTAGAACGGGATATTATACATGATCAAATTTACGTAAGCCAAAAATGAATCGTATACAATTGTTTTGAATAACTTGAATAACGTTTTTAGTGAAATTGTCTAAACAAGTATAGTATACGATATTACAATAAATTAGTATAGATATGACCAATGCTTCACATAGTTTTTTACGCATCTTAAAATTTAGTAAATACCTGTTTATAGTGCTATAAGAGTGCGCAGCCGTAGGTAGGTTTTCTGAGATAGACTTTTAACAAGTTCAATAAACCTTAATTTTGTATAAAAAACAACACCAAGAATTTTTGCAGAATCAGAAAGTTGCAAGATTTGGTTATTTATCTGAATGTTCAAGAGCTGTGTTACATTGTATGTTTTTCTTTGTGCGCAAAATAATAACATTTTAAATTTTTGTGGATTAATAAGTAGATTGTGATCTAAAGAGTATTTAATTAATATATTAACATTGTTTTATAAAATTTGAGTAGTATTATTGACATTATCTGGGTTAAAATAATGAAGCAATTGCGTATCGTCTGCAAATGACTAGACATGAGAATTATCAATACTTTTGCTTAAGTCGAACGTATATATGAGGAACAGAAGCGGCCCCAATACAGAGCCCTGAGGTACGCCTGAGGGAATTATTGTCACTTGAGACATTTCTTGATTGAGAAAAACACACGGAGTTCTTTGATGGAGGTAACTGTCGAAAATGAAAGGGATACAATGTCAAGACCTATGTAATTTAATTTAGCAAGTAATAATTTATGATTGATGCTGTCAAAGGCTTTCGAATAGTCTATAGAGATTAAGGCTAGTGCCATTTTCTTATCTAAGGTACTTAAAATATTGTCTTGGAGATTAAGTAGGGCTGATGTTGTACTATAATTTTTCTAAATCCAGATTGAGTGTCGGGAAGTATAAAGAATTTTTCTGGGTAAGCTGTCAATTGGAACTTTATAATTTTTTCTAAAATTTTGGACAAAATTGGTAATAAACTGATAGGTCTGAGATCATTATACTCAGTGGGTTTCATTTTTTTAGGAATTGGAATAATTAGAGCTTGTTTCCATGTGTTTGGAAAGTAGCCTTTTTCCAAACAGTCGTTGAGGATGACATCCGGTAAATGGCCACCTTGAAACCTCTGGCACAGGGTCAAGATAAAGTTTTCTCTCAATTGTGGCTCTATTTCGTCGATAACGCGCCGTATCTCGTCTTTAGGGCGTTCAGCTGTCTGTGGTTTGCTCGCTTACACCTTTTCCTCCACGTAGCCTCAAAGGAAGAAGTCGATTGGCGTTAGATCGCACGATCTTGGTGGACAATTCTTGTAGTGAGTTTGAATACTGCTCAGTGACGTCTAATCGTGTGGTCTGGATTTGACAGCTGTCATCAAGTAAGCACCACACCATTTGTGCAAAAAAATCGCGACAAATTCCAATCCGGAGCTCCTGTTGAGACACCCTTTAGCTCAACAATGAATCTTCATAAGGCTGTAGTATTTGTCATCAATATTCTTCTTCTGGAAGGGTCTATCTGAATGTGCGACAAACATTGAGGCATTTTGTTTGTCGAAGTTCTTTTGCACTTTGTCCACCCTTCTTATCCAAATCTGCTATAAAAAAAAACATGGAAGAAGGAAATGTTATAAGGCGTTAGCATTTGTCATTTTTTACCCAAATTTGAAATATTTCAACTATATTTCACTTATACCCCCATATGCTAACATGCTTGAAATTCATTTGAGAGATCTGCTGATTAACTATATAGGAACTGTCTTGCTCCTCAAAATAGCCCTTAACTGCCGACATCACTAACTTCTTCATCGTTGGAAAGACTTTGATCACTGAGCCATTTTTTCAAGTTTGGAAACAGAAAATAATCCGAGGGGGCTAAATCTGGTGAATATGGTGCATTAGATAGCAATTCAAGCTTTGATTCGTTAATTTTGGCCATTGCAATTACGGGTTTGTGAGCTGGTGCACTGTCTTGATGAAACAACACTTTTTGCTTGATTTCATCGTTTAAATGTTGCTGCTGGTTAGTCTATCGTTTTGTCATTTCCTAGATGTTCGTTATCCTTTTTCCAGGCAAACACTGGAGACAGTGGAAATGCTGTTATGTGAGCGTGCCATGTCGCAATCGATTTGCATGACAGCAGACGGCCTCAAACTCTAAACAATCCAAGAGATGCCACCTGCAACGCTCTGCTTCCTCCGCTGTTCTGTTTTCCGTCCTCGTAACGAGGTTAAGTCCGGTGTCTGGAAAATCATAAAGTATCGCGTTTCCGGTGGGGTGAATCGGAGGGCAGAGATACAGGTCTCTGCCGCCTGCCCAATATTCTTTATCTGGGTCAAGTTCGCGTTTGTAACCGTACACGGTGGAATGTCGGAGAAGCTTCAATATACGTATACAGGATGATTTAGAAGAACGTGGCAATTTTTCTAGAACAAAAATGGTAAAAGGATCTCATATGAACGTAGATCCCAAGACGTCCCATTACCAAGATTCAAGGTGTTATACATTTGCATGCTTCTGATTAGGCTGAATGAGGACAAAACGTGAATCATGTTCAAATAACTGTTGTCCCCTATAGCTTCGCAAACGGGTGGCTGAGTTCCTATGTGGCCGTAAGACATTTGTCGTATTTTCCATCAAAATCAATCAATACATTCACTAGCTACAAAAACAAGGTTACAAGCTTCATCAGCTCTGTCCTTATTTAAGAGCTTCTTAGCTTCCTACCAAAAGAATTGACTCGATTCAGTTTTTTTTTTGCAAAACGCACAGACCCGTCGATTTTCTTTTCGAGTGGGACACAAGTTTGGCAAAAAATCACGTTAGCACGTGCAGCCCCCTAAGCGGGGGTGACACCACCCCGAAAATCTTAAATGGAAGGGGGGTCGAGCGATACCTTATTTTAGAGGTCCTTCAATTCCCTCTATAATGATATAAAATTAATGTACTTCAGTTCAGTAGCTTTGAAGATTTATCGATTTAAAGCTTAAATAAAACTAATACAACATTAGTGGAGATCAATACATTTGGCAGCAAGGTAATTTAAAAATTAAAAATGAACTGACCCGTTAGGCAAGTAAATGTTGAAAATGGCAATGCATGCAATAATAAAGATTTTGCTCAAAACGTTGCCGCACATTTTGCAATATTTGAGGAGTAATTTGAAGGCACTCATTCGCAATTCTTTGTCTCAGGTCTTCTAATGATGTTGGCTGAGTAGCATAGATTTTGCTTTTTAAATGACCCCACATAAGGAAATCCAAAGATGATAAGTCTGGCGATTTTGGGGGCCATTCAATGGCACCTTTTCTACCAATCCATCGATCTGAAAACGTCTGATCTAAACATTGTCGAACACGTAATGCGTAATGTGGTGGGGCACCATCCTGTTAGAACATCAACCTATTCGCAATGTACCGCCGATCATTCTGATCTTCAATTATGGCTGTTAATGCAGGATCTATGGCGTCTTCCAGTAATTCAGTAATAATGTTACTATTTTGAATCTGGTGGCTCAAAGCAAAATTACTGCAACAGGGCGCAAATGGCGCCGTTCGCCTAGCGAAGCCCTTCCTCCGTTTCAGAATTTCAGATGGCATGGACCGTGGGTTGACAATGTCGCGTTAGGTTGGTGGTACATGCTCAATCAGGCGTCGTCTTCCGTACATCTCTGGGAAAACCGCACCGCGCTAGCCCGACCGCTGCTGGCATTGGCAGGCAGCAGCTTCCGTCAACGTTGCTGTCGAGTTATTCCAGCTGACGCTGCACCACCTTTGGAATCACTCTGCGCCGAACGTCCTTTACCCAGAGGCGTATCAACTAGGGAGCAGGACCGAGAAATCTCGGTCCCGAAAGTCGCTTTTATTTTAGGCTGCTTATTATCTCAGTCTTTCATTTTTTTATTTCTTTATTCGTGCTTAATACACTTGGGTGCGTACACAAGTCAAAGTAGAAGTTAGAGATAAATTAAAAAGGTATAAGGTCACAAAACAACAAAATTCGTTAAAAAGGACAACAGAAAACGGTAAAAAGCTTAATACGAAGTTGAAGTTAAATCAAAAAGGTATACTCGTAATCACTTGTGATTCCATTTCTTATGCTGCGAGTTCAAGTCGATTGTGCGGTACGCCTCGGTGGCCCATTTAGCTTTCTTCGTATCCCGTTCGAATCCCATCCCAGGAGAAATTTTTCTCTTGGCTATAGATGGTGTGATTGTCCGTAGGTGGTAGACGGTCTCTGACTGTCGAACGCGGAGGTACCACCCGGCGGATCTCGTAGGCGGAGCCAGAATGTGTGCATGTTGCAAGCACATGTGTTCCCTTGCCAGAGTCCGTGTGGCGTTCCCCCTTTCCCCTGTATCCCCCTATAGCCCCACGGTACCAATGGGTGTTTAGGCCTAAGGCCTTCGTGGTTCTTGGAGTATAAAAAAAAATCATTTTTTACAAAAATTTTTTGTAACTCGGGTACTTCTGATAAGGTCATAAAACAATAAAATTCCTTAAAAAAGACAACATAAAACGGTAAAAAGCTTAATACAGTTGCGTGCTTACACAGGTCAAAGTAGAAGTTAAAGTTAAATTAAAAAGGCATAGGGTCACAAAACAACAAAATTCGTTAAAAAAAAACAAAAGAAAACGGTAAAAAGCATTAACAGAAAAACTATAAAATAGTAAGTTTGTAAATTAAATACAAAACTACAGAACAACCATATCCGAACAAACAGTGCAAAAGTTACTTTTTGACAATCCTTTATGGTATTAGAAGCTTTATCGATAAGGTAAGCTTTAACTCTATACTTAAACGAGTCGCGGCCAGGACCTTTGTAATGCAAATGCCTTAGTCATATGAACAGAGTGACCCCAGTTGAGGAGTTTACGATTATTTTTACAGTCATTGACACGCCTGGGAATCGTGCTGATAAGGTGATCGATATCCTGTTGGGGTATGTCATTCCAGGCTGCTGCAATTTCATGAGTAAGAGCTGCTAAAGTCTATGGAGGGTGTTGCAAATGCAAGAGCCTGAGAGCTATCATGTTCAGGCAAGACAAATCGATATGTAAGAAATTATTTAATTCTAAGAAACATACGTAGGTGTCTTACTTTTTTTGTTATGTAGTGAGCAACGTATCATCAAAAACACCGCTTTCCAGATTTATAATTAAAAAAATGGTCTCCCGAAGAATATTGTTTACATATTCCTCCCAAATCATGAGTGTATCAATACTGTCACCAAAAGACTTAACTGTGTCTATGGCACTGATGATATGGTGACACAAACTTATTACTATGGACTGTGTCTTTAAAGCATTAAAGCATTAACTGTCAGTTAATTTGTTAAAAACCAACTTTCTGAATTTCTTGTATATTTATTACTCGCGGAGTAAAGAAGGTCAATCCGCTTGGTACTACAGAGCATTGTTGTGCCATCGTCAAACAGTATAAGGTCTTTCGGTAAGGTTATTTACGTATATTAAAAATAAAAGTGGTCCCAGCACAGAACCCTGTGGGACGCCACATAAAACTGTAGTTGTACTGGAGGCAGTGTTGTTGAAGGTTACAAGCTCCTATCTGTTGATCAAATAAGATGACAACAGCTTAAAGCTACTACCGTGGAACTTGTAATGCAGCAATTTTTGTAGAGGAATGTCATGTTGAACACAATCCAAATCCTCAGCGAGATAAAAGAAATAAGCTAAGCAATGAGCATTACTTTCGATAGCTGCATCTATACTAAGTGACATATAAATCCGAACACCCAGTTTAAATCGTTTTATTTTAATAAAATTTTGTATAAGTACTTAATGAAGCATAATAAGTAAATGATAAAAATTTCAAAATGATAGCACTGCTTTAAAGCCCTTAGACCTTTAATAATGTGTGGATGCACCCTGATGTGCTACGCATTCTCCAACGCGCCTAGGCATGCTTCTGATCAGGTGGTCAATGTCCTCCTGTGGTATCTCATTCCAGGCAACCACCAACTCCTCTCGAAGTGCTTCTAGAGTCTGAGGAGGACGTTGCAAATTGAGCAATCTCCTACTCATCATATCCCACACGTGCTCAATTGGGGATAAGTCGGGAGATCTTGGTGGCCATGGTAACAATGTGACATCATTATGTTGAAAGAAGTCTATTGCGACTCTTGCAACATGTGGTCGGGCATTATCTTGTTGGAAAGTTGGATCTGCCAGGGTGTCAAGATAGGGTAAAAGATGGGGTTCTAGAACTTCGTGGATATAACGCTGCGCATTCATGTTACCTCTGATAAAGATTAAAGGTGACCTGGAACCATAAGCTATAGCACCCCAAACCATAACTCCAACAGTGTGATGAACATGTCTTTCAACAAAAAACTGTGGATTCCTCCTTTCACCACGTCGCCTTCTAACCCTGGCACGACTATCGTGCATGCTTAAGCAAAATCGAGACTCATCACTAAAGACAATACTGTTCCATTCTTGATCCCAGAGTGACCGTTGTCTGCACCACTCAAGGCGATTACGTCGGCGTTCTCGAGTTAAAGGGAGGACCCAGTGTGGCCGGTATGAAAACAAGCCAAAACTTCTCATTTGTCGGTAAACACTTCGCAAGCCAATAGGTCTTCCGTGTTCTGCAAACCATTCATTTGCAATGGACCTGGTAGTGGAGAAACGGTCCCTTAAGGCCAATAATCTTAGGCGGCGATCTTCACGGTCTGTTGTTCTACGGCGGCGTCCAGTGCCCCTTGCTCTTTGCGTACGGCCTTCTCGAAGCCATGCCTGACAACACCAAACCACAGTATCTACACATCTTTGCACTGTAACTGCAATTGCCCGAAAAGAAAGTCCAGCTTCCCGAAGTCCCACTATACGGCCCCTATCAAACTCACTAAGTTGACGAAATCGAACAGGTCTCCGTACTCTAGGCATCGTAAGCGATCGTAAAGGATGTCAAGAACCAAAATCCGCCAACGTTGATTCTTTACTGCGGCTGAAATATTCATTTTTAGAGCGTTAGTGAATTAAAAAAAAGCAGTATAAAAACCGGAATGTCCAACTGATCAGGCTGAAAATTTTTTCACTTGTTATTTACAGTAAGATAAATACATTCACCAACTTTTATTAAAATAAAACCATTTAAACTGGGTGTTCGGATTTATATGTCACTTAGTATATTATAAAAAGGGTATGGAACTTATTGAACATCGCTGAGAAAGGAGATTATGTTGAAAAATAAATACATTTTTTGTTTTCTTCGTTGGGTCGGGACTTCTGGGACCACCCTCGTAGCATGTTACCGGGCCCAAAATTGCGTCAAAAATTGTTGAAACGACTTTGTTTAAACGATTTACAAAAATCTTTTTGCTCCAGTCAAAGTGGTTCCAGAATTTTCTAATCCCGAACAAAAAAGATGCTTTACAACTTTTCTATAAAGTTGATAGATAGTTTTAGAGATGTTGGTTGTTTGAACATTGACAACATAAACACTTCCATTATTTCGTTCTGTTTTTCGAGGCCATAAAAGACATATTTCACACATATCTAAACAACAACTTTCTCTGTGCGCGTCAGTGATAGCCAGTCTCACCTTCATCATGTAGCAAGTGGAGTTCCTCAAGGCTCTGTCTTGGGGCCAGTGCTGTTCCTTCTGTATACAAGTGACCTGCCCGCATTGATTTCCTCCACATGTTCAGCTTATGCAGACGACACCAAGATTTACAATACTGTCGTAAATTCTGCTATGCTTCAACGAGATCTTGATATTGTTTGTCAATGGTCAGTCAGTTGGCTTTTACCCTTAAATCTAACTAAGTGTTGTGTCCTTCACCTCGGGAAGACAAATCCGCGATTTTCATACAAGATCTCTGACCACAACATCGAAGCAATTTCCAGCCACACTGATCTGGGCATTGTAGTCAACGATCGTCTTTCCTGGTCAGAGCATATTCACCACGTTACATCAAAAGCCAAGAAACTTCTATACATGCTGGAGAGGTCTTTCAAAGGATCCGATGTCAACACTTGCGCCTACATTTACAAGGCATTCGTGAGGCCAATTCTTGAATTCGCTGGCCCGGTATGGGACACTGTGCTTCTGCGCGATAGAAATCTCGTCGAATCAGTACAGCGTCGGGCTACTCGTATCCCTTTTGGAGAACGAAGACCAAGCTATGAAGATCGCCTTGAATTATTCAACCTGACCTCATTCTCTGAGCGAAGACTTCGTGGCGATCTTATAGTTACGTTCAGGATATTTCATGGTTTGATGGGCACCAACCTCATGCATCTATACCGTCCGTCGCGCAGCAATCTACACGGACACAGCTTCAAACTGCATGAGGAGCCATTTAAAACAACAGTCCGACAGTGGTTTCTTCCCAACCGCATATTCAACACCTGGAATAGTTTACCTGAAAGTGTGGTTGGTGCTACTTCAGTTAATAGCTTCAAAGTGCAGTATGATAGCTGGAGGAGTGTACAAACTTGTGAACTGTCTTTTTTAATTTTTTTCTATTTGATGTATTTGTGTTACGTGTCCGTACACTATATTTACTGCATGATCATCATAATAATAACAATAATAACAATCAACCTCAGAGAAAACTGGCAAAGCACCTTTTTTGTTCAATATGTCCAGAGAAATCTAAAAACATTTTTACTGGACCAAAAAAGAAGTTTTGACGCAATTTTGGACCCTACAAAACGCAGATTTAATAAGAAGAGTACCTTTTTGAGGTTTTAACTAGAACGAACCGAATAACAACACAGCCCAACAAACAAGAACTTTATTCCACGTTTCACTTCCTATACCACATCTGTACAGTATTATGCCTTTTAACTTTTTTTTGCAGCATCAAGACACCGTACAGCAGTGCTTCAGCGGTTGGAGGACATCCCGGCACGTAAATATCCACAGGTACGATCCTATCACAACCGCGAACTACCGAGTACGAATAGTGGTAGTACCCACCGCCGTTCGCACAACTGCCCATCGAAATGACCCATTTGGGCTCCGGCATTTGGTCATACACTTTCCTGAACGCAGTCGCCATTTTGTTCGTTACTGTGCCTGCTACGATTATGACGTCTGTTTGGCGGGGCGAGGCTCTGAACACCACTCCGAACCTAATAGGAATAATAAATTATTGCGTCTATGAAACTGGGCGTTCTCAAAATTCAGAAAGAGCTTAGGATAACACCGCAGAATAAGTAACCCAAAATATATACTGACATATAAGCGATCGGCTACAACAGGCCGCGTGCACCGCCGTTTACAGCGTCAAGCTTTTCGGATCTCTCCAACTATGAATTTAAAATACTCTCGAAGGGTCATACTTATACAGGGTGTTTCAGTTTATTGTTGCATAACTTTAAGATTCGATAGAACTTTTAAAATTAATGCATAAAGTCATTATAAGGTATATATAATTAAATTTACTTTCTAAAATAGTTTTTTTTAAATATTTCGAACAATATTTGATGTATAACAGTGAAAATTGGCATACAAGGGTTTTTTGGTACGACAAAACGAACCATGCGCATAGTTTTACTGTAGCCGCTAGAGGGCGCTCTCTACTGTACCTGTACTGTATTAAAATGACCGAAAAAATTTTCTTAGTGCAATTTTTTGCTTTTTGAATAAAAAAACTGATTCTTCGCACTTTTCAACATAAAAAAGCTCTCTTGTGAGTTTTCGTTATAGTTACCCGTTTTTGAGATATTTCGATTTTTGAGGTTTATTCTCCAATCAAGAGTTAGCGGATATTCATTTAGTAAACGGAAACGCACGAAGATTTCCAAACAGACGACATCCAACTCGCTCAGTATTTGTAAGAGCGCATCGCCAAATAATTGAAAATGGTTTTGGAAATCTCCACAGTGATCAAAACATAAATTTTCGTCAGCGCAGAATTACCCATATGATTCTGCGTGAGTTTGATAGAGATCCGACCACAAGTGTTAGGAGAGTTTCTGGTGCCTTGGGAATTTCAGCAAGCCATGTTCACCGTGTTCTTAGAAATGACCATAGACGTCCTTACCATTTACAACCTGTGCAAGGACTACAGACATGGGACGGAGAACGAAGAATCACATTTTGTCAGTGGATTCTTGATAGAACTGATAATAATAGGGAGTTTTTAAGTAACGTTTTATGGACCGATGAGTCATGCTTCACTAGACGTGGAGTGGTAAATTTTCATAATCAACATATTTGGTCGCATGAAAATCCGCATGCAATTCGGGAAAGAAATTTTCAGCATGAATTTAGTATGAACGTGTGGATTGGTATCTACCGTAATCGACTATTTGGACCCTACGTTTTGCCTGCAAGGTTAAATGCTGTGACCTTCTTGGAATTTTTAAAGGCTGAACATGCTAATATGTGGGATGATGTTATGTTAGATTTAAGAAGATTGGCCTGGTTCCAGCTTGATGGTTGTCCAGCTCATTATTCGAGAATAGTTAGAAACTGGCTGGACGAAAATTATCCAGAAAGATGGATCGGCCGTGGAGGACCAGTCGCCTGGCCTCCACGATCCGCTGACCTAAATCCATTAGATTTCTTTGTGTAGAGAGTTCTAAAAGAAAAAGTGTACCAGACTCCCGTAACGAAAAGAGATATGCTAATAAACAGAATCAGGAATGCATGTGATGAAATAAGGCCTTATTTGAATAATGCTATACCACGTTCGATCATTCGTACATGTGAATTGTGTATTGAGCAATTGGGTTTACAATTTGAGCAACTACTTTAGATTTTGTATGTTTGTCCTAACTACCCAATAGCATGTTAGTTGTAAATAATTAATTTCATTTGTTAAAAATAATATTGGAAAATTAAACAAATTAATATTCTGTTTTTTGCGTTTATTTGGAGTTAGGAATTATTGCTCTGTTTAAAAACACAATCTAAACGATCATCTTAATTACTTGTAATGCCCAAATCGAAAATGTAAAAAAATATTATTTTCCCATAAATAATTAAAAATGCATCGAACCTTAAAAAACGAAATATCTCAAAAACGGCTAACTATAACGAAAACTCACAGGAGAGCTTTTTTATGTTGAAAAGTGCGAAGAATCAGTTTTTTCATTCAAAAAGCAAAAAATAGCATTAAGAAAAATTTTTCGGTCATTTCAATACACTACAGGTACAGTAGAGAGCGCCCTCTGGCGGCTACAGTAAAACTATGCCCATGGTTCGTTTTGGCGTACCAAAAAACCCTTGTATACCAATTTTTACTGTTATACATCAAATATTGTTCGAAATATTTAAAAAAAACTATTTTAGAAAGCAAATTTAAACACCCTGTATTTCGGAAGCCACGCATTTTTCGACCCATGTTTATATAGACTTTATGCATTCATTTTAAAAGTTTTATCGAATCTTAAAGTTATGCAACAATAAACTGAAACACCCTGTATAGCAGACCAGGTATGAGTATCTGGTTGCAAAGTAACATCGTATCATTAATCTCCATGGATATGTAATGTATACAGGATGTTCCTTAATGATATGCGAATATTTAAGCGTGTGAATCTACATGAAAAATTAATGTTAGTTTGCTTAATAAACTATGCTCCAAAAATGTTTCCTTACAAAAGCTCGGGGTGTTGAAGTTTTAGGAAAAAAAAATGGAAATTAATTAATATTTTCAGAACCGCTTCAGATATCTAGTACGTAGTGAAAGTTAATAAAGTTGCATATTTTTCAATGCAAAAATAATTTTAAGCCTTAACAGTGGCGTGCGTAAGAAAAGAATGGTACGCCAATGGTTTTTTGCCAAATAAAAATTATTTTTGAATTATCCGGTCAATTGATTGAATGATTTACCCTAAATTGTTTTTTTCCGATGCACCATTTTTGAGTAAAAAAATAAAAACCGTTCTAATGTCTAACAGGCAAAATTATTATTAATTTAATTGGAAAAATCAAACACATTAGGGGTAATGGACAACAACAACTGACAACGTAAACATAACATTAAAACCAACGAAATGATTACAAAAATTGTTGAAAATGGCCCCCTTAGTATGCAAGTGAAGGGATCCTAACGGATGGTATTCTCTTATGATTAACATCGCCCATTTCGGCTAACACCATTCTACCGGATGATGCTGCCTTATCTTTTGTTTACTTAGGCATATCTACTATATTTCACTGCTCTCAAGGTTATATTTTCTTTTTATCATCATAAATGTACTTTGTCTAATTCTGATGCAAAAGAATTATAATGATTCCATTTTTGCATCTTGTACTGACCAGACCGAATCAAAAAACTATAAACCTGTTTGGCATTATTTATCTTGCATGCTTCCGCCCTCCTTCCCATGGAATTGCGCACGCGTTGAAATATCCCTGGAGCGTTTTTCATTCTATCACAAGCTGCAACTATTCTTTCTCTTAATTCCTCTACAGTGCTAATGAGACTTGTGTATACTAGTGTCTTAAGATAGCCTCACAAAAAGAAATGTAAACTGTTGAGGTCTGGGGACCTTGGTGGCCATTCTTGATGCCCACCGCTTCCAATCCAACGATTTGAATAAACAGTTTGTAAATAATTACGAACCGCTACACTGAAATGCGCTGGCGCACCATCATGCATCTACCACATATTGTTTCTTATTATTAACGGAACATCATCAAGCAGCAAACAACCAACAAAAATTGAGGTAAGTCTGTCCGCCAAGTCGTCCCGGCAAGAAGAATCGACCAATAAAGTGGTTGCCAATAATTCCTGCCCATACGTTAACAAAAAATTGGTGTTGGAAATGGGTTTCGGTTACGGCATAGGGATTTTCTTCTGGCCACAAATGATTATTGTGGAAATTCTGAATGGCATTTCGAGAAAAATTAGCTTCGTCCGTGAACAGAATCATCGATTCAAATTGCGGATTTTGTGTAAATTTTTGAACATACCACCGACAAAAGGTCACACGCATTGGAAAATCGATGGGAAGTAATGCCTCTGCTCTTAAAATATGGTAAGGATATAACAAGAAATCGACTAGAATTCTCCAAACAATTTAAGTGTCTAGCGATCTTCCTTGTACTCGTTTCAGGATGTTCGTCGACTTCGTGCAGCACTGCTTATTCAATTTCAGGTGTTCTCACACTTAGAGGTCTACCTTCAGATGTTCCTTCTCGGATAGAACGAGTTTCAACAAGACGACGATGAATATTAGAAAAAGTTCGACTATCTGGCAAAGCACGATCGGGATATCTCTGGTGATAAATCCGTCTGGCTTGCTCACCATTACCGTCGGCAAGGCCATATACGTAATGCATTTCCGCCATTTCTGCATTACAATAATTCACCATTATTAACAAGATTGTAAAAACTAAATAATGAAAAGGATTTGAATAACAGAGACTTGTCAGATGTCAAAAGCCAGTGACATATTCCAGAGTAACTAGAAATTTATTGCTAAATTGCATTCTTTAATTATTTCATTAATTTTCTCGGACAATAGAACGGTTTGTATTTTTTTACTCAAAAATGGCGCATCGAAGGAAAACAATTCAAGTGAGGTCATTTGTTTTAAATTGAACGGAGAATTTAAGAATAATTTTTATTTGGTAAAAAACCATTGGAGTACTATTTTTTTCTTACAAGTCCCTTACGCACGCCACTGTTAAAGTTAAAAATTGTTTTTGCATTGAAAAATATGCAAATTTATTAACTTTCACTACGTACTAAATATCAGTGAAATATCAGTAGCGGTTCTGAAAATATTAATTAATTTCCATTTTTTTCCCAAAACCTCAACACCCCGAGCTTTTGTCAGGAGACATTTTTGGACCATAGTTTATAAATTAAACTAACATTAATTTTTCATGTAGATTCACATTCTTAAATATTAGCATATCATTAAGGAACACCCTGTATAGTCTCTGGTAGTCAGAATATGCTTGTTGAAAATGAAGGAATAATTCAGTGAAAGAATCGACTCGCAATGAGGCACAACATATCCATGATCCATATCGAGATGTGTTCACTATCTAATCTTATCTAATTCGAGTCAATGCTAAATATACCTGAACATTTCCACCAAAACTCTCTGTGCGTTTTAATATTAACCAATTAATCAGTTTAACGTTTTTGGGACTGAATGACGGTAGTTCTACATACTTATACTTGTGACGGTGGGCTGATAGAATGAATCGTGAAGGAAAATGTCAACAAAAAGTAGCTCTAATTTGCACCGACTCGTCAGAAAAGTTTATATCGGCTATGGATGCTGCCTTGATTGTACACGATTCTGGATTACAAAATTACGCACCGCAAGCCAAAAACCAAATTGGTAATGAAGACTTCCAAGCTTCTGAGAAATGGAATAGATCATTCAAATCTGCACACCATTTCGTGCCTAAATAAATAATAAATTTGTATCCTCAAAAACAATCAAGACAATAAAATTTTAAGAAGGCAAGCTGAACAGTTCGTGAGGCAAAATAGGGCATAATATTATACGGGTTAGAAAACTTATGCAACTCAGATCAGATTGAGTTATAACCAAGTATATCAGCTAATGATAAGCTACTTTCACCCTCTTTTTAGTTTTTTTTAGTCAAAGCTTTTCAAAGAAGGCAATTTGTACATATTAGTATCAAAGTTTAAAAAAATAACTTCAGGGATAAACTATTCTTAAAATGCATACTTTGATTATTTTTTTAGTAACGAAAAGTCATATTTAGTATTTTTTCAGACCATTTGAATTTAGTTCACTAACGTTTTTTTGCTAAATGCTGATTCGAAAAGCGTATTATTGCTTGATTCACATAATAATACAAAGTAGTTGATGAAAAGATGTCTAAACATCAACTAGGAAAAGGAATTAGTGAATGTAATACTGCTTTCCCGAAAAGCTAAAACCATTGTGTTTAAATAGGTTTAAATATTATTTGAAAGATCACCTCCTGCATAAATAAGTGCATTTTTTGTGTGTGTATGTGGTTGAAGATTTAATTTCATACTTAAATGTATTCACATATTTGTACTATTATACTTTTTTTTGATATTTGGATCAAGTAGAAGAATAGCCACATGAGCTAGACTTCGCCCGTTTATAATATGGTCATTATAAATAGAGAACATTATTACCATTATTATTCAAAACTGTACATCTTTGAAAAACGCAAGGACCCGTATTTACTGTTTCTGTTATTTTAAAAACTCGAATGTTAGAAATATGACTAATAGATTTTTTTATCACAGAAGCATTGTGATTGCACCATGATGCATTTTTCATTATTTTTGGCGACGAACCTTCTCTATGTGGTCCCATCGGTTTATTACAACTGCAAGTATATCACAGTTGAAAACTATCCTTTTTCAGTCCCATTCGAGGGTTGATACATAAAAAACGCTTTTTCGTTCATGTACAAGATATGACTTTGACATCAGTGTAATACCTGCTGCTTAGGGTACATTCAGGAACTAATCTTTACCTTCTCAGTAAATCAAATGGAAAGACATATATGTACCTATCCATATCGTATCTAGGCGCAGCAAAATGCATCATCTCAACCGCACAACAAGCCAAACCAAACGTCATCGGCCAAAGAGATCTACTCCTTCCCCAATTCAGCAGATCATCCAGTCTCGCTAATGTCCATTCAGCCATTCCTTTGGTGTTTTGAAAAGGAGAGTAGCGTCTCCATTCTCCTTGCTTGTACATCCTGGACATGTGCAGTGGGGTTTTGTCCCGTTTTTCGTCGGCGGGATTTTTTGTCTCTGTATTGTTCTGTCCTTGTACGCCACATGGCCTCGAACTAGTGTATCGGGCGAGATACTTTTGTGCTTCCAGGGCAAACGGTTTTCGTATCAACATGTTGCTAAGCTTTCTAGGAATAACGAGCATCTTCTGCAGAACACTGACAATGACAGTATGTCAAGAACTGAACTAGTGATCGACTTGCCTTGCAAGTAATAATCTATTAAATTATAGTGGATAGAAATTTGAATGTAGCTTCGATCTTGAACAAGGCGTTGAAGCTGCTCTTACCGGAAGCTCTGACATATTTGGTGACGATAATCAATGCGATGCGCAGAATGCAGTACTTCGTCGCGAGGTGGAGCACTGCATCATGATTCCAAAGAAGGTGGGTTCGATATTCCTCCTGGATTACCAGCCTATCAGTCTGCTGTCAGCTCCTTCTAAGCACGCATTTTAAGAATTTTTCGTCAGACATGGAGCATACTACCGAGCTACAGGCAGTCAGGCTGGTGGATCATGAGAGGACTCAGCCCGCAACATAAATGGCTCGTAGATCTCTTCTATAAACTAATCCAAACGGGTTTTCCTTTTTTGCTTCTGAAACCACTTCCTCAAAGATCAAAATTAACAATGTTTTTTTGCCAGTACGGGCTGGTGTGCGTCAAGGTTCGGTCCTAGGACCAGTCCTTTTTATGCTTGTTGTCCCTTGCTCTAGCAACTGTGAGGTCTACTGCTACCATAGAAACATTCTACCGAGCACGTCAGGGTCATCCCTGATATGAGATTGATCTCACAGAAACATACAGCAGTGTTGAAAACTAATATTCCAAATTAGGTTTCGACAGCTATGCAGATCCTCCAAATTAATTTTGCAGGTTTTTACGAACAATTTGCAAAGCCCCATCGTATGACTCAAATGAGACAGTACACAGTGACCTCGGCATTTCTTACTTGAGGTATTACGACAAACTCCAGGCGCGGCGACGTTATACGAGCCCCTTCCCACTTCAGTTGGCCCACTTCAAGATTTGTCCCATATTTCCTGAAGCCTTTATCTCAGTTCGGTGATTGTACGAGCAGGATGTTGTCGTAGAACCTTTTTCATCTCGTGCCACAAAGTTTCAATAGGTGACAGATCTGGACTGCTAGAAACCCATTTCAAAAGTGGTACATTATTTTCTTCCATCCATTTTATAGCCTTTTTGGAGGTATGGCACGCTGCATCATCTTGCTGAAACACAAAATCTTGGCCGGATGTCAGACATTCTTCCATCACTGGTAAAAGCGATTCTTCTAAAAATGCCAAATATTTGTTTGTATCCACAGTTCCATCAATAAAATGAAGTTTTCCTACTCCTTTTGATAACATACTGCCCCAGACCATAATGGATGCTGGAAATTTCACTTTTCTCTTCAGCCAGTCAACATGGAATGCTTCATTTTTTTGCGAATAACTCTACTGCGACTGTCACCAACACAAACTTCGAATCGGGCCTCATCACTCCATTGTATTGCACACCATTGTTGAGGTGTCCAATACAATGTCCTTTAGCCCATATAAGCCGATTTTTCATTGCAGTGGAGTTAATAGTGGCTTTTCTTTGGCCTATAAACAAGTTGTGCAACTTTAGGGTTTTTACTTCACTTTTTTTATAAGAAAACTTACCTTGCAAGTGCTAAATCCCAGTTTGTGGGCCTCTCTATGAGTTGTGGATCTCGAAATTCTCCTTCCAACAGCGTCACTCCACAGAGCACTTAATTGTAAATAATTGGCACGCCTATTTTTCACGATTATTCTTCTTAATGCTTAATATTAACTGAACCCGTTATGTTATATCTTCTAACAATATTTCTCACACTGTACCGCGATAAGTCTAACAATGATGCAATTTCTGAGTTTGATTTCCCAGAATTAAAAAATTTAATTATCAGTAACCGAATTTTCTCACTAATAACCTTTCCATTACCCATTTTGAAAGCCTTAACTACCCAAAACTATTTTAAACGTATTCAGACAGCTGTGATTAATAAAAACAATTGTTATGGCTTTTATTTTTTTTCGCCGCCTATGCGTTATCGGCTTATTTTGCATTGAAATGAAAATAGGTTGATATGCTGTAATTGCAGTATGTGTTATTTTTATGCTGCAAATTTGATTAGGAAGTGATAAAGTTGGTGTTTTCTACTATATATTATCAAAATATTCATTGTTAGTATTTTAAACCTATAACACCCTGCTACATTTTTATTATTTGTGTTTGATAAGAAAAAAACTAAGATTTCAATAGTTGGGCCAACTGAAGTGGGAAGGGGCTCGTAGTCAAGAGGAATGGCTCAGCAACTCTCTATTGCGTGAATCAGTGGACTACACAGTGAAGCAAGTTCGTAAACATCCAAGCCATGGCTCGGACCGTGATCAAGAACTAGCGCAGGCTTTTAGAATACCAAAAATTACGCTCCAACAACAAACAAATTTTATTTTTAGAGTACCTCAAAATCAGTCCTTGTAGCAAGTAGTGGGTATTCCCTCTCAAACTGATACACTTCTCATTTCGTTGCTTTCCTTCTTTTTTCAATTCTGTCCTTTTCCATAATTTCTTGACATTGTATGGACAGTGGAAAAGGTCCTAAGGACAAGCCGTACCGACAAATTGACAAATAGCATTCGTTTTCGAAGCATTAAGTATGCGAAACTCCGCCATTCGCCGAAACAGGGTACAAGATATGGAGCTCTGTAATATTAACTATACAAAATAAATAAATTTTGATTGATTGATGACTGGAGCACACTGAAGCAAATAGCTGAAAGGATTTTATAAGGATCATTGACTGGTTTGATACTAAAATTTTAACAGTTAACTTCAAAAAAACAAAATTTATTGCATTTACATCCTATTCAAAATTTTTACCTACCTTCGAACAAATTTCCGTTAATTATCATGGCCAAAAGACCAAAATCGATAGAGTTAACGCTTTGAAATATCTGGGAATATTTATAGACTCACATCTAAGGTGGGATAACCATATTAAATATGTTATCAAAAAAATTAGAAATGTTGCCTATAAACTCAAAATGCTTGCTAACATTCTTACAGAAAGTTATCTGCGAATCCTATATCATGCCTTAGTTGAAACCCATATAATATACGGCATCACAGCCTGGGGTGCCGCCTGCAAGACATATATTTCTGACCTGAATATAGCACAAAAAACTGTTTTGAAAGCCATTTTCCATAAGCCAAGATTATATCCAACGAACAACTTATATGAAGAAACAGGGATACTTGATACAAGACAACTTTATTTCTTACATGCCACCACCTTATACCATAAGTATTGTAATAAAAATAAAAAATCCTATAAACACGAGCATAACACACGATTTCGAATAGGCTCATCTAATATCCAAAGACCACACAAAACATTATTCAAAAAATCATCTAATTCTTAGCAGCTAAATTATATAATGTAGTACCAAACGAAATAAAGATACTTAATTTTGGAAAAACATTTAGAAGAAAATTGAAAGACTGGGTTAGTAATGTGCAGCGAATGACTATACATAATTATATAGAAAACTAAAACTACAAAATTCCAATTACATTAATACCTTTTAGATTTAACAATAACTGTTATACACATATATGATAGATTGTTAGTTATTAAGATATGAACCACAAACAGGCGATGCCTTCTGTGGTTTTTTCATATTTATTTGCCCATTTTTTGTATTTTGGCGAATAAAAAAAATATTATTATCATTATTTCATAGATTTTCGCGTATCGTCAATTTCGATCAAATCCCATTTCTGGGGTAAATCGGAAAAATCAAAGATCCAAGAACCGTTCACATTTTTTTTTTTATATAAATGTAGCGTGCTGAAATCTGTATCGGTAGAAACTTTTGCGCGTACTTCATCGGGATTCATAATAAATAGATTAATGCTACCACGTTCCTTGCATAGTGCTTCAGACATGAACAAATAATGTCCTGAATGGAGGGCCCGCCGTAGCGGTAGCAATGACCATTTGTAAGTGCTCTCTTAATAAAATCGTTATCGCCAGACAAATGATACGTCATTAGTTAGGCGCCTTGTTAAAGGCGGCTTTAATCGAAAGTTGGGGAATTCGGAAAAATCACGCTCGCTCTTCGAGCTCTACGCTAATGAGCTTGATACGTAAAAGCGGATTGCTTTTGTGTTATCCACTTTCAAGGCAGCAAAGCTTTCAGGCCAGTGTATGTTTGTAATGGAAGGGGGAGGTTATTCTGTTAGCGTAGTACATGGAGAATTGATTGATATGTCAACTTTTTTGTTGATAGGGTGTGAGATTTGAAGTTCTTTTTACGGTTTTTGATGGTTACATCACGATGTCATGAATAGTACTAACTCATTCATTGATGATCCACTAAGGAAAATAACTCTGGAAGGCATAGCACATGTTTTTTCTTGCTTGATCCACCTTTTAAAATTATTGTAAAGGCCAATTTCACCAACATTGATAAATAAGGCTCCCTTGGACCAATGCCAAAGGTCTCTGGATATCAGTGATCTCTATTAAAATTATTATTATTGAGTTGAGTACAAGTACTATAAACTGAAACACATAATAGATAATAGTGTACAGACAAAAGAAATATAACAATTTGACAATCTTAGCACTTCTGAAGTAGACATATACAGAATGGGAACAATATGTTAAGCACTGCGGTGTCTATCATAACACTGATCAACAGCCAAAAAATATCCTAAATAAAATCAACAAAATGTTACTATTTTTAATGTGCTAAAACCGGAATGAAACTTATTTTTTCAATATTAGTTCAAGTTTAGAGATACGGTAATTATATGTGTTCCTGCTGTGACAGTGTTAATATACTGTAATTCACAAGAATGCACTTGCTACATTTTTATATTCGGCAAGGAAAGATGATGTAATCGGCATGATTGTGTTACGTTTATACATACGTGTACATTATATTATTGTATATTAGCCATTTTTTACTCAGTTGGCTGACAGCGTTCATGCAAGATGTCTCGAAAGTGTGTAAACAATCCAGATCAGTTTGTTACGTGTGTGGCGATGTGACTTTTGCGTCTCAGAGACGGTCTATTACTCCACTAATAGGCATATCAGCTTTATTTCGGTTGTAAACTAGGTGATCAAGACAAACAGTGGGCAC